AAAGGAGAAATCTCCCACTCTTGACCCTTTCTCCTTAGAAAAGGACTTCCCTATTTGCCTGGTTCCTTCCAGAAGTATTCCTGATGCCACCATCCTCTCTGGACTGCTCCTGACAAGAAGGCAGTTGATTTCTCCACAAGTATTTCTCAAGCACAGACAACATTCAAGCAATGAAGGGGCTCTTCCAAGGCATGTTAGTCCCTTAGCCCTGGAACTCAGTATGACGCTGACCTGAAAATGTCCTGCCCAAGGAAACACTTCCATTTCCCATCCCACATGGTTCCTCTGCCTCCCCAGAGCTGTCACTCCACAGCAGCAGCAAAGGAAGCAACTGGCAAGATGAGGCACACTCACATTTGGAGCTGACCTGGTCCTCTCACCCTGGCTCTGCACAGATGTGAACATCTGCTCACAGGGAAAAAGCTGCCTCAGAGCAGTGGACTTTGGATGTCCTTCCAGGCAGCTCCATCTCTCACTACCCTCACCAGTCCCCAAGTCTGATGTGACTGCAGGCACTTTTAGGACTTGAGTCAGTGTCATGTTGAAGTCATATAAACACCCTGTAACTCTCAGCAGCAGATGCAGCTCTAAAGCCAGAAACTGAGACTTTCAGCAGCTGCTGGTTTTCATAAGCTGTTGTTCTTGAGTGTCCCACTTAAAATCACCTCCTTCTGCATGCAACAGACAGGCCAGCTCTCTGCAGAGCCTTGCTTGAGCCCATGAAGTCATTTGAAAGTCTTGGCCGTACTGACATGTGGAGTGCCTGCGTGTGATCCTCTCTCCAGACCTGTAGCACTGCTCCACGGCAGGCGTGGGATGAGCCCCTCTCCTGAGCCGTCCAGCAGCTCTGTCAAAGAGGCATCTTCTGCTGCAAGCAAGCAAAGGGTTAAAGCTTGCAAGGAAAACCAACGGAGTGATTTGGTGAAATAAAGATTAAAACATCTCCGTAGAAGGTGAGGAGCCAGCCCTGGCCTGTGCTGTCTCATTTACCCACTAATCAGCCCAATTACCTCAGGTATAAATCATAACACAAAACACTTACGGAGCCAGAGTCACACACTGAAGAAAGGAGAGAACTGTTGGGTTGGTTTTTGTTTAGTATAATTGATATAATTACTAACAACTCTGTGCCAAGAACTTCAGCTTTTCTGCTTCCAGAAGAGAGTAGAGAGCTGTCTGAAAGCCATAGCAATTAGCAATCCCCACATGCACAGCTTTTATTAGAAAGAATGCACATCTATTGCAGAAAGAGCCAGCAGCTCCCTGAGGAGCAATTAACCATCCCTTGGTGCCAGGAATGCAGCTGTCACTGAGCCCAGGTCCCCTCAGCAGTGCTGCAAAGGCAATAAGGAGCCCTGCCTGTCGTGCTGCACGTGAAATGCCTTCACTGGGCACTTCCTTGTTCCTAATTTTAACTCACCTGGCTCCAGACAGGTGCTGTGGTCCAAGCAGGCTGCTTATTCTGAGGCTTCTCAGGTCCAGCTCACTGTACCAGCAGAAAGTCTCCCTTTTGCTCCACTGAGGAATCTGCGCTCTAATCTCCATACTCTGGAGCAGACTGACAGTAACCGCTGGAGCTCCCCAACACCCCAGAAAGTGACCCCAGAGAGTGCCTGGTGGACAGCTGCCACACATCACACCTCGCCAGGGGGTCACCAGGCAGCCCTGGCAGAGCTGAGGAGCAGCAGAGCTGGGGTTACCTGAGCCCTGCACAGGTGACCTCTCACTGGCAGCGAGCTGTGCAGGTGCAGAGCTGTGCACACACGAGGCTGCAGCATGTCCACAGCCAGAAGCCATCCAGGAGTGCTAACAAACTCCTTGGATGGATCCAAGCACTCAAAAACCTCCACCAAGCACCCATGCTGCACTCCTCATACCCATGGACGTCCCTAGGAGAAAAAAGGCCTTTCCTGGGTATTGCTAAACAGCCACAGAGCAAATCCATCAGCATTCATGTTTTCCCCAAATCCTGAGTCACCATCACAAACCAAACTCCTTTGTGAGTCAGACTGAGGAGCTCGGGAGCAAAGTGGGATGGAAAGTTGGACAGCCATGGGCTCCACCTTGCTCCCTTGTCCCTGTCCCTGTCCCAGCTCAGCCTGGTGTACCTGGCTCTGGTTTAACATCTCCATTTCTGAAAGCTTCGTTTGGGTTTGAGAAATTATAACTATTCTCATGGGTATTTTCATCTCCTGTTCTTTAATTAATTAAACTGGAAACTGAGCATTCACTTTAAAACTATTTTCAGTAAACTTATAGGGATTTGGATGAAAGAATATCTCAGGGAAAAATAAGTGGTGCTTTTTTTTTAATTATTATTATTTTAACAGTTTATGATGCCAAAACCTAACAGAATTCTTGTGCCAAGGAAGGAATGGGAAAAAATAAGCAAAAATTAACAGTTCATGCAGAAGAAGCTCAAAAAGTTATTGTTTGTCCCAAAACATTTTGATGACATTTTCAAATAGAATCCTTATCCTTACTCTGAGCTGCTGCAGGGTTTGCTTTTCTGATCTTTATTCTTTGGAGTTGTTGTCTCAAGAAGATAAATTATGTTATTCTCTGATTTATTCTCTGTGGGGTGGGGGGGGCACGGGCAGTAAGTAAATTGGGGCAGAACTTACAGTGCCCACTCTCTCAACAGGAAAAATCAAAATCCATTGTCTTGTGTTGGCCCTCTGAGGAAGGACACAAAACCTGTGGGGATGGAGCTTTGGGTGTGATGTGCTTTTGTGATCCTCTCAACAGAACAGAATCACAGAAGCACAGAATGGTTTGCATTGTAAGGGACCTCAAAGCCCATCCACTTCCATCCTCCTGCCATGGCAGGGACACCTTCCACCATCCCAGGCTGCTCCAAGCCCTGTCCAGCCTGGCCTTGGACACTTCCAGGGATCCAGGGGCAGCCACAGCTGCTCTGGGCACCCTGTGCCAGGGGCTGCCCACCCTCTGAGGTTAATACATTAATGTGGGAAAATGGGAGAAATGGAATGGAGGTTTAACCCATCCTGGGTTATTGATCCAGTCTAAGGTGATGCTGTACCAGAGCTTTTACTCTACTTTTCAAGGACATTTTTCTGAAGATCTCAGGAAGGTTTGACTGCACTTTTTAACCAGGTACAAATCTCCAGATTTGTCCATCCAGGTCAGGCCAGCCAGGGCAGGAAATGCTTCTTTTTCTGTGATGTAGGGAAGGTTTGTTTCCCAGGATTATCTGAGAATTTCACCCAGGAAATACCACCCACACCCCTTTGCTGAAAGCAAGGCTTGCCCTCAGCCTCTCCCCTCTCCCACTTGTGATGGAGGCTTTGGTCTCCTCCTCCTGCAGTCATTGCAGTGTTCTGTGAATTAAGAAATGTTGGTACTCTTTGAAGAAGGATCATACCTGGGGGGTAACAGTGTCTGGGGGTTTGCTCTGGTGTTCAACTTTCATCAAAAATATTACTTCATATAGTCAAGAATACTGATTTCTTTACCACATTCCTTTCTGGAGGGGCATTGATTTGAGGGCTGGGCCATGACAGCTCTCTTAACTTCCTTCTCTCATGCTTTGATAAGAGACAAAGTGCTTCCTCTTTGCAATTTGAATTCAGAGATCTCTGCCTTCGATAGCTTGGAAAAATAAAATAAGCTCTGTTGGCTGTGGATGGAAATTAAAATTTTGCATAATTGGTTCCTGGTATTTCGTCCAAATCTGAAGTATTTTCCTCCTATAATTTGGTTTCAAAATCTACCGATAACACATTGTATCCTGCTCACCATCACTGCAATAAAAGATCTTTAGAGAGATGATTCCCAAACCTAAGTTTTATTCATAATAACCTTAATATTTTTTTGGCTTGTCATTCTATTTTGAAACAAAAACAAGTGTTCAAAATGAATGTTTATTACCAAATTAAACCTCAAATTCAACCACCTTAACCTTTCCACAATGATTAAGAAGAAGCAACTGGCAAATGGAGGGGAGGACAGGCCCAAAGGTGTAATAGCAGAGCACAGGCTCAGGTCCTGCCCCGTGACATGGGCTCTGACTACTACACAGGTGCCCCTGGTGGTTGGGATCCCACATGGGTCCCCGAGCAGAGCTGTGACACATTTCCCATTTCCAGACAGGTCCTCTCCTTCTGGAATAGGGCCCTGCTCCCTGCTCCTGCGTGTGTCCTGCACACGCGTGGGTGTGAGCCGGGCACTGCTCAGGCGGGTCCCTGGCAAGCCCAGCCCTGGGATGCAGCTTTGATGCTCTGAGTTCAGGGGGGCTGCGAGCCACGGCTGGCCCGGGGGCCACTGGAGGGACTCAACCCAAGCACGGTGCTTCAGGAGCTGCCATCAGCTGGCAGCACCCACTGAGCATCAAGCAGGGATGGCCTTGTGATGCCTTGTGCAGGCTGACCTAGAACAGAGGCTGGACAGAGCTAAAGAATAAAGCAGGGATTTATTTGGAGACCTCAACAGATCCACCTTGGGCAGCACAAGAGTCCAGCCAGGGCTACACCCCAGGTGAACCCAGAATGGTCACAAAATGGACGACTGGTCACAGGGTCTCTCACTTTTATAAGTTTTGGTCCATTTGCATATTGAGTTAATTGTCCAATTACAGCTCCAGCCCATGCAGTGCCATCCTGCTTGTTTTTCTCTCTTCAGCCCACGTTGTTTGTGCTCTTGGGCCTGGATCAGCTGTCCTTAGTCTCCAGCTAGAGAAGGAATTGTTTTGTCTCCCTACTCTGTGAAGGGAGCTCACTATCCCTTTATATGAAGCCCAGACCCACACACTAAAGCAGCACAGAATCTGAAAAATAGAAAAGCCAAAACCTGAGGCATCACTTGGCGGTGGGCAGACATCTCCCAGCACAGGTGGGAGCGTCATGACACCTCATATTAATCACTATTTACAGCCCAGTCCAATCTCCCTGGCCATCAATCCATGCCGCCTCTGGCATGCTCCGTTTGCTCAACACCTGGGGAAGGGCTTTCACTGATGCCCCCCTGTTTCTCTCCCCCAGCCGCCTGGATGCAAACCTCATCTCCGTGGTGCCCGACAGGAGCTTTGAGGGGCTGCTCTCCTTGCGTCACCTGTGGCTGGACGATAACGCCCTGACGGAGATCCCCGTGCGAGCCCTGAACCACCTGCCAGCGCTGCAGGCCATGACCCTGGCCCTCAACCAGATCTGGCACATCCCCGATTTCGCCTTCCAGAACCTCAGCAGCCTCGTGGTGCTGTAAGCCTCCTCCACTTCTTATTCCCTCGGCTGGGACAAGGTGCTGCCCTCCTCCTGCGGGAATCCCTGCTGCTCACTCCCCCTGGGGCGAGGGGCAGAGGGTTTATCCCCCTCATTTGATATGAAATGCTAAATTTGCCTCTTTTGATATTTTCCCCACTTTTCAGTGAAGAGCTAGAAAGCTCCCTGATATAATTCAAGAAATGTTTTGTATTAAAGAAAAATCAGTAACTGGAAACAAAAAACAGATTATTTTCTTTGAAGACTCAAGCAACAAAAACCTTCTCATTTATTTTCCTATCTCCAATCCCTGTGTTAAAACTACAGGAATTTCTAGCAACGTGAAAAAAAAAAAAAATTAAATTGCAACAATCTTCAGTCAGGTCAAAAAAGTAATATTTTAATTTCTTGGAAAACATACCAGCTCACTCCCCCTCCTCCCCCTACCCCCTTTTATTACCAAATACGATTTCAAACTAAAGGTCTAACGCCAACACCTTGTCCCAGCCCGTGCCTGCTTATTTGCATGAGTGTGGTACATCTGCTGGTCAGATGTTCTGCGGGGGTTGCTGTCCAGTTCGCGTTGTTAGCATCTCCCAGCCAGAGCTGGGAGCGCTGGGGAGAGCTGGGCTGCTCCGGGGTGGAAACCTCCCTCCAGGGGCAGTGGGACACCGACCAGCCACAGCCCCTGGCAGAAAGGGAGCTGATCCCTCCGGCAGCTGCTCAGGAGGGGCATCCTTTCTATCGGCAGAGGCTCGCAGATGATCTTCCCTTTAAAAGGAGCTTCACATGTGCAAATTAGATGCTTATTACTTCTTTGGTGTTGATTAGCAAGTTAGGGTGTGATTGCCAAATGCTTTAGAGCTCCTCTACACACATGAAACGTCACCTCTAGTTTGGTAATTTGTACTGATAGCAGGGTGCTAAGTAACCTCAGCATGTAGTGCCTTAGTGAAAGTTTAGCAATTATTTCCCTTTCAAAATTTAAAGTGTTTACTGAGACCATCCAGCATGGAAAGTGCTTGGACAAAGCACAGTTCAGAGTTTTATTAAGCATCAAATTCATCTGTTTAGACAAAGCATAAAGGCTTATTTAGGAGAAAAGCAAAAAGCAACTTGAGAAAAATCAAAAAAGTAGTTTTCACCCACAATAGTGCTCATTCTCTAAGGCAACCCCTGGCCACCATAATGCAACCACTTCAGTCAGCTTTAATAGCTTGCTCAGCGGGTGAGCTGACATTTGGGGTTTCATTTCAGCCTCCAAAGTATGCTGCTTTCATTCTGGCTCATCCCATACTGTGGGCAAGAAGCAACTCCTTAATTAACCAGGCAAGCTTGAGAAATAAAAGTCATTGACCATTAGGTCACAAGGGAAGGAATAATGTCCCACCACATACAATTGGAAGGGAACACATGTGTGATCCTGCCAGGCTCTGTGGGACACGATGCTACATTTTTGTGGGATCACAAGTGTTTGGCAGAACTGGCCCCATAAATCTCCCCCATGCTTCCATGCAAACCCTTGTCAACACATCACCAGTGGAAAGTCACCCAGTGTCCCTCTTGTGTCCCAAGCAAGGACATGTCCCTGCTCCAGACTCACCCACTGAGCTGACAAGCAAATGTTCCCAAAAGACAGCCAAGCTGGAGAGGAGACATTCCCCTGCCGGGAATGTGTGCGTTTGCAGGTAGATGGAGGATCTGCCTGCTGCTGTGAACATGGAAACTGCCGGCTACAGGGCGTTAGAATGAGCCCCGGGGGAGAAAGGCACGGGCAGACAGGGCTGAGCACAGGGAAATCCTTCCTGTGCAGCCTGGTCAGTGCTCAGGGACACAGCTGACCACAGCTGAGCATGGCTGACCATGACTGACCATGGCTGAGCATGGCTGACCATGACTGACCATGGCTGAGCATGGCTGACCATGGCTGACCACAGGAGCCTCCCAGGGGCAGCTGTGCTGCATGGCTGAGCATGGCTGACCATGACTGACCATGACTGACCACAGCTGACCATGGCTGAGCATGGCTGACCATGGCTGACCATGGCTGAGCATGGCCGACCATGACTGACCATGGCTGAGCATGGCTGACCATGACTGACCATGACTGACCACAGCTGACCATGGCTGAGCATGGCTGACCATGACTGACCATGGCTGACCATGGCTGACCATGGCTGAGGGCAGGAGCCTCCCAGGTGCAGCTGTGCTGCTCCTCCTCCACACCCCTGTGCCCTGGGCAGAACCATTTCACCATCCTGCACCGCCACAAGCACTGACATCAGAGCCTCAATCTGGAATACTTTAAAGATTCAGTGTCTGCTAATAAATGACACCTTTGTTGAGGAATTCCCTGATCTTATTCCCATCTATTGCTGCTGCAGGTTTCAAACTAGGGCTGCAGGCTGTTCAGTGAGCAGGGCCCCATGTACATCACTCATCATGAAATCCATGATTTTCCATAATTGGCACCACCCTTTCCCAGCTTTAATAACAAGGGCTTAGTGTGCTGGGGTGCTGGCACTGTGCTTTGATGGCAGAAGAGAGGTAGATATTTGATCAGGATAGTTTATGGGAATAGGTGGTTACCTTCCAGTCTGATCTATTCAGGACCAGATGTATCTTAGTATCTGCACACAGAAATAATACTGAATACTTTTCAGCTGATGGTTTGTATGAAGTAAAGGTTGCTTTACAAAAATCATCCACTTTCTTGAGCATAAGAGATTTTTCATTCAGCAGTCAGCATCTGAAACCCCCATGCTGCTGTGCTGACAGTCCAATAAAGTGCCTGACAGCAGCTCCCAGTCGTGTCCCTCATTTCCTCTGTCAGCTGAATTCAGCAAGAAGTCTCAAGCCAGGAATCACAGCACCTCTTTCAGTCCCACCCTCCAGAGGGGTTCTCAAGTAAAATCTTACATTGCCAGGAAATCTCCCCTGCTGCAGATGTGTCCTTGCTGCCACATCTCTGCAGTGGGCTGCAGTTCCCTTCTTCCCTGATGTCACCAAAGGAGCTCTCAGCAGACATGCTGGGATGTGTGTGGGACAGAGCCAGAGTGAACTTTCCAAAACAGGCCAAGCAGTAGAGAGTTTTGCCCTGTAATGAGGGACCTGGATAGAGAAAATCTTCAACTAATTTTACTTTCATCATATAGCAGAGAACCCCTTAAGTTAGAGCAAACAAGGTCAAAACACAGATCCCTCCTTCTTTGGGTCCACAGGGAGCCTTAGCTCCTGCAAACCTCCAGGAATCATTTTGGTCCCATAATGGGAGCAAAAGAGAAGATCTACTCCTCTGACCTGGCCCTCGCCCTTCACCTACCTGGTCAAAACAATGGACTCTGGGAAAAGTTGTTCTCGTGCCATTACCAGTTCGTTTTGCTTAATGCCCTCTAATTCTTGTGCTCTGTGTCCATCTCCTCTATGCCACTGCTGTGTGTGTCATGTCTACTGCACCCTTCCCTCAGCTCAGCTCTTCCAGTCCCCATCCACTTACCTGGTTTGAAACATGGAATCCCAGGATGTTTTGGGTGGGAAGGGACCTCAAAGCCCATCCAGTCCCACCCCTGCCATGGGCAGGGTCATCTTCCACTAGCCCAGGTTGCTCCAAGCCCTGTCCCAGGCCTGGAACACTTCCAGGGATCCAGGGGCAGCCACAGCTGCTCTGGGCGACCTGTGCCAGGGCCTGCCCACCTTCACAGGGAATCTCTTCCCAACATCTCATCTAAATCTATCCCCTCCCAGTTTTAAAAAAAATCTATCCTCTTTCTCCCTTGTCCTGTTACTACCTGTCTACGTAAAATCAGAAGTTAGTTCTCATATTACACTTCTTTTTTCCTTCACACCTTCAGATGGAGAGACCAACTGTGTACACTGCACGAAAGACAAAAATTCTGGTTTATATCATGGTACAATGCTGTTCTGTGCCCATTTTCCCTCTTCTAGCTATCATTGTCACTTCATTTGCTTTTTTCATAGCTAGTAAGCACTAATACCTCTTTCCTGGAGATGTATAAAAGCCTGATAGTGTGTTTGCTCATAGAAGACTGGTTCTCCCCTCTGCTGCACTTGACATTCACACAGCCTGAATATCAGCTGATAATTTATTGTCATGGTCACTCAGGACCTTCCAGCTGAAAGTGTGAAGACAGTAAGTGAAAGATCTTTAGTAGAATTCCTCTTTCTTACAGTTTTTGTCATTAAAAGACGTGATGCAGCGCCCTCTCTAACAGAATGGTTTAGTGACTAGAAGAGAAAACTTGTTTGCAAGACTCCTGGGTTCCCATTCCCATTCTGTCCTTGTTCTGGTGTAACTCTGGCTGAGACTTTCAGAAGGCACCACTGCTCTTCAGTGTCTTCCTTGCCTAGGAGAAACCACCAACACTTCCCAGCTTTCCAGGGAAGCTGATCACCAGACATTTCAGTGACATCTGTGGTACCTGGGGCTTTCTAGCACCCAAAGCCCAGCCTGGTGCAGGATGAGCCTGTGAATCCCTGCCCTCACCTGTGCAAGGGAGTTACCAGTGTCTCTCTGAGAGTTGTTGGGAACCTCAGTGTTGGCAGGGAGTGCCAGGCATGTGCAATTCATTATCACTAAGAACAATATTGTCTGGGACATCTGGGTCCCATTCATGAGCCTTTTTATTGGCAAAAGTGCCTTTTCTCTCGGAGGACCAATCTTGCTGCCTTGGCAAAAGTGGATTTCCTTCTCCAGCACTTGAGGAAGAAGAAAATCGTGCTCCAATGCACCCTGAGAATATCATTTCTGACTGAGCTTTATTCTTCACCAGACAAGCCTCATGCTGGTCCTCCAGTAATGGAAACAATCCATGGAATTTTCATCATTTATGATTTAGATTTCTCTACTTATCCATGGCCAAGTTGAGGAAAAGGACAATTTTGCTACAATAAAGATGGAAGCTCATCATGGCAGTGGCTCGTCAGGGGAGAATTCATATGATGTCAGATTTGAGCTTAGTTCAAATCATCTAATATAAATAATTGATGGAAAATGTTTGCATTTGTCCTTTTTGAGAAGAAAAAAATTAAGTCATTAAAAATGAAAGCAATAGCAAATCCACCACTTCTCTTTGTAGTCTGTTCCAGTGGTTAATCATCCTTAGTGTTAAAAAAAACCCCGCTCATATTTCCCATTTGAATTTTCTTTGGCTTTGACTTCAGACATTTGTTCTTATTATTCTTTTCTCTGCTAAATCACAGAACCATTTTAGTACCCAGTTTCTAACCAGGAAGAATCCTATACATTACACGGCACTCATCCCCTTGATCTTATTTAATAAGCTAAACAGATTGAGTTCTCTAAGTCTTCACCCTATTTTTTTTCCAGCCTTTGAATCATTTTTATTGCTCTTCTCTGCACCCATTTCAGTTCATTGACATCCAGTTACCAGTGTGGGCATCAGCACCACGTTTCTCCTGCCAGGTCTGCTTTCACCAGATGCTGATACAATTTCCCTTTTCTTGCCCATACAGACAAGCACCTTCATTAAAGCAGTATTTAGGCACTAGCTCAGCTTGCTTCCCTTCTGTGTAAGATAAATGTGCAGTTCTCTTGGAGGTGGCATTGCCAGAGTTGAAGCTACTGTCTGTGTTGGAATGTCTCTCAGGCTGCTCTCCAGGACCTTTTAATTCACTGAAAAACTAAGTGGAAAAGGAAGTCAGATGAAAACTGAACAAATTTGACTAAGGGTGCTGCATGAATGATGGGGGGAAAATCACATTTATTCCCAATTTCTGATAAGAAATTGTTGGCAAGGAGAGAAAATCTTCTTTCTAGAATCTGTTGCATGTTTCTTATTGCGGGTCAGAATTAATCCTGTAGGGTTTGATTTTTCTTCTGCTTTGTTTCTAATTTCTCACCACCTGAGGCACCAGCCAGGCTGCAGCCTCTCTCCCCAGCCTGTGTGGGATTCTGCAGCCACTGTCATTGATGCTGGTTTCAGCAAGGGCTCACCTGGCAGCAGAGGAGCTGGCTCATCCCACGGCAGGCAGGAGCCCTTGTGCTGCTCCAGGAGGTCCCACCCTACCAGGGCTCAGTGTGGCCATTGAAGTTCATTCCTTCTGATGGAAGTGCATGGCTGAGAACAGCCAGCCTGCAGAACAGCAGTGACTGTCCTCATCCTGGGCACAGCCTTCCATGGGTAATTGCCCAAACCCACCCTCACCCCATGGCACTGACCTGCAAAGGAAGAGACCCAGCTCCTAAAGCCCTTTGCCCTTACCAAGGTGACTGGTGGGTTACAGCAAAAGCTTAAAGACTTCCCATGTTTTTGCGTCGTAGGGGTTGTTTATAGCCCAGAATCAAGCACCTTGAGCTGCTATCAAGCCAGCTGAGCTGTAATTTACAGGGCAGAATATAACGTTGTGTGGGCTGAGCTCAAATTGACAAGCACTGGAGATGTTGCAATTCCACTTGTTAAAATTTGTTTACCAGGGGAGAAAAAAAAGGCAGGATGGAAGACAGGAACGTCTTTTCAAGTGTTTACCTTTCCAGCTCTCTTGTTTCTATTATTGCCATGTGGTTGAGTAACTCTAGAGTTCAGCTTGGACAGCAAATTTTTTTATAACTCCCTTTTTTGGTTGTTCATAATTTTCTCACCAACAAAGAACTTCCTTCGGATGATTTTCATTACTCTGCCTCCAAACAAAGCACTCTAGAGCCAAATATAAACACAGCAGGTGATTGCTTTTCTCTGCTGTCTCCTTGCCTGCCTGCAGTGATAACAGTCAGCCGTGCAGCATGTCTGAGCTCGGACAAGGTGTCCAGTCAGACCGTCCTGACAAAGCTCCAGGGAGCTCACACCTTCCCTGGCATTCAGCATTGCCTTGTCCCCACACTGTCCCCTCACAGCAGACAGGGGTTTGGGGCATGTGTTTCTTGTGGTATCTCTTCATGTGATCCCATAGCAACTCCAGACCCCAGCCCTCTCTTTGTCAAAGGCAGTAACCATTGGCAAAAGAACTCAAAGTGGTTTGCAGCACCAACTGAAGAGAAGGCAGCATGACCAGAAGCTGCTAACATTTGATGGAGGAAACCATCTGAGCACAAACTTCTTTTCTTGTGACAAAGAGAAATTTCTCCCATAAGATTCTTATTTTGATCTCAGGCTTTTTTCCTCCTCTAAAAGTCACAATCCAAGTTTGCTTGCAGGCAACATCCTTTTCTTTTTTCCCATTTGCTCAAAGGAGCAAACATATTTTATCAGATATCTTTCCCTTCCCTTCCCTTTCCTCTGAAATATTTGTATGTTCTCATCCCAATGACAAACATCCATCTCAGGCTGGTTTCTGTTTTGCAGGCCCCTACCAAATTGCCCTAGAGCCTGCCTGCTCCTCCACTCCCAGCTTCCTCCTGGTTTACCCTACAATATTTGGCAGTGGGAGCTGCCTGTGCTCAGCCAAACAGCTCACGCTCAAATCCAGGTGGAGTGAGAGATTTTTCAAGCTGAGACACATTTAGATCAAGCAGCAAATAATGAAAAAACCATTGATCCACCTGCCAGGATGGAGCCTCCCCCAGGCTCTTGGAAGGAGGCAGCAGCATTGGACAAAGGCTGGTGCATCCCTTGCTAGTGCTATCATGGGCATGGGACAAAAGGATCCCCGAGGGGAGTGGTATGGCAGCAATTCACCACATGGACTTAGTGTTAAAAGAGAATCTGAACTGATGGGAAACCCCCCCTGAGAGACCTTGGTGGGCAGTCAGCACACAGAGCGTGGCACTGCAAGCATGGGCATCACCAAGGGGGTGAAGTGCAGGCTGGTAGAAGTGCAGACTGGGCAGCAGTGGGTTGTCTCCTGGTTTTCAGCAGACTTTTCTCAGACTGCTCACAAGAACTCTGTCCATGGATGCAGAGGTGCCTTTGAGTGGGATTGCAGAGGGAGATGCACAATTAGCCACAAGTTCATAGCTGTAAAGGAAGTGACACGGAAGAAGCACTGAGATGTGCACCCATACACAAGAGCCTCTGATAATCCAAGATGAGGAATCCAGGGATTAAGGCCTTGGGTTTGTCAAAAGACTGAGACAGGGGAGTGAGGCATCCATGGAAACACAGAACCCAGAACTCCAGAAACGCATCACCTACAGAGCTTCCAAAGCAAAATTACCCCAGGTGGCTTTGCAGGGGCCCCCAGCATACGGCTTCCCAGTGCCAACGTTAAGGCTGGGAGCTCCCAAGCCTGTAAGCACTAGATGTTTGTGGCATGTAGCAGCAGGATGAAGGGGAACAGGAAAAAACTGTTCCTATGGTGCAGAGAATGTGCATCAGCCTGTGGCATGGCCCCAGTACTTCAGCCAGGCACTCTGAAGCTCTGAACTGAAGACAACTTTCATTGAAATCAAACTGGAGCTGGTCCAGGAACTGGCAGTGTTTTCTTTTTTTCTTTTTTTTTTTCTTTTTCCATTCACATGTAAAGATAATAAACTGTGACTAACAGGATGATTTTGCACTCAAAGTCTTCTTGCTGGTACTAAGACTCCAAGGAGTCCAAATACAATTGTGTCCTTAAGTAGCACCCAGTGCCCATGAACAGCTGGTGAAGCCACAGATGGGCTGAGCCCAGGCTAAGGTGAGCTCTAGGGTGTTTCTTGAAGCTTCTTGCTTAAGCATGTTCATCCACAGCCACCTGGCAGCTGTGAAGGTGGAGATCTTGGGGAAACTCCTGCATTAGCCTGGAATTTCTGAGAGGAATGGGAGCTCTGTAGCTCTCTGCAAGCACTACTACACCCCACATGTGTCTCATGGAGTAAGAGAGGGAACCCTGTAAGGGCCCTTGGCATCCCAGCCCAGGCTGTGCTCAGCTTACAGGATGTTCTGGACCAGAGGGAAAGGTTAGCCTGCACCCCCACTGACCATCTCTGTTTTGTCCACAGGCACCTGCACAACAACCGGATCCAAAGCCTGGGAGCCAACGGCTTTGATGGGCTGCACAGCCTGGAAACCCTGTGAGTGCCCTGTTTCATTCTCTTCTCCAAAGACATGGGGTGTGTTCATCCCCCAGCACAGCATGCATTGTCAGATTAACCCCTTTTCTGACCCAGAGGTTGGGTAACTGAGAGGCATTTTAAAACCTTTTATTTTATTTCAGTCTCATGAGAAGGGTGAGACAATACAGATGTTATAATTCACACCATCACAATCAGAAGCAAACTATTTCCTAATTACAATACATTATAAGCGTTTCTTGGCTTATCAGCTTTTTGCCATGCCATGCTGTAAATGCCTTAAAGCCAATCATATAAAAGTACCCCTCGTGGGTCTTAACACAACGCATCTTTCATAGTTCTATTTCTTCAAAGTATCCAGTCTTATTTACAAAATCATCCTTTGAAACTTGTTCTATTTCTCTCTCAACAAGATCTATCTTATTCCATAACACTTCTAAGTCAACATTTCTTATCTCAAAGTTTACATACAGATACACACTATGTGAGCTTTCTGTCAAGTTTTAAGAAGTCTCTACAAATCCATTTCCCACATGCAGAAAAGGGGGTCAGCCCCACACATGTCCCTGGCCCCCATGTACTGAGGGCAGCAGCAGAGCTGGCTCCAGGCACGAGTGGATGCCCAGGGTATGATGCCTTCTGGGGAGTGAGAGCCTGGGCTTTCCTCCTGTGCCTGTGCTGCTGCTGCAGGGGGGTCTGTGCATGTGAGCAGGGTGGCTGGCAAGGGGCCCTGGACACCATTCTAGTCCAGGTGCGGTCCCAAGAGCTGGGACACATTTCCTTCTCAGGGAGTGTGTCTCCCTCCTCAGAGCACAGGCATGGTCCTAAAACCTCCCCAACACCTGACCAAAGCCAGAGGCTGACTCGAGTTTGGGGCCTGTAAAGTCCTCAGGGGTCTGTGGGATATGTCTGAGGTGATCTCATGTCTGCTGGCATCACTCATAGCCAGCTGATTTCATTGTGCACCATGTGCTTGGTGTGGCTGGGAAACAATCCATCAGAAGACTGCAGGGAGGATGGGAATGAACTCACCTCCAGAACACACCTTCAGGAAGGTAGATTGAGATCAGAGAGTAGGAAGAAATTCTTGGCTGTGAGGGTGCTGAGGCCCTGGCACAGGCTGCCCAGAGAAGCTGTGGCTGCCCCTGGATCCCTGGAAGTGTCCAAGGCCAGGCTGGATGGGGCTTGGAGCAATCAGGGATAGTGGAAGGTGTCCCTGCCCATGGCTGGGGGTAGAACAAGTTGGGCTTTGAGGTCCCTTCCAAGCTAAACTGTCTGTGATTAGCAGTAGGGGCTCACCCTGAGCTCAGGGACAGTTTCATCCCACAGCCTGGCCACACATTCCCTGTGCTGTGACAGCTCCATGAGTGGCCTGGACCTCATGTGCTGTGCATCAGCCCAGGAGGAAACATAAACAAGCAAACAAATAAATTGAGGCTCTGAAAGACTGGAAGAGGTGCTTGATGCCTTCAATTGTGCAGAAATATGTCCCTTCATGCAGGCTCGGGGTCAGAGTCAGGCCCTCGCTTCCTGCCAGGAGAACCAGGGGGTCCAGGTCATGGCAGAAGGAGATGCTGCTTCCCAGCATTCAAGTGCCACTCAAGGAGACAGGGCCCCTCTGTGCCCAGCATGGTGCCAACAGCAGCTATCAGGCAAGAGTGGCAGCAGCAGGCAAACCCTTGGTCCCCAGACACACTCCTCAGGGCAGGACCATGACACACATTGTCTCTCTCTTGCAGACTGGCAGATCCTGGGGCCACCCAGAAGGGCTCAGCTGGGGAGAGGCTGAACTGTGCCAGGGGTGGGAGGCTGATGGATAGTCTCCTCTGGTGACCCACGGGTCCCAGCTTGGCTTTCTCCCCAGTCATTTCTGGTGGTCACAGGCAAATATGTGAGGGCAAAGCTGTGGTGCCCAGGGAACACAAAGGCAGGAGCTGCAGGAGGAAGCAGAGAACTCGCTGATGGAAGAAAACCTTGTTTGGGCTACAGCTGGAGCAGACATGCAGCAACGTCCCAGCCTGCATTGGGGCAACCCTTCTCTGCAGCCAGGGTGGTTAGAGATGCCGCTGCCCATCCCAAGCAGGATGGAGCTGCAGAGGAAAAGAAGTCCCCTTGTTTGCTGTGGAAAAGACTAAAGGGTTTCATAGCCCTGGGAGATAATTCTATTTCCACAGCCATTTCTGCTGAATGCTCATTTTTCCTCTCTTCCACTCTGCTCCCACTCTCAGCCTTTGTTTGCTTTCTGCTGCCCATCTGAGGTGTCACCCAGCACCTGGGGAGCTCCGTGTCCCCTGCTCCTGCTCCCAGTGCCCGCAGGGCCAGGGCTGTGCAGCACTGTGGGGACTCTGGAGCACTGCAGCTCTGCAAGCCCTGTCTCTGCTGATGCTGATCAGGCAGCCCTGGGAGGATCCAGCCTCCAAGGTGGTCCTGTTGGAGCAGGGCTCTGCCTGTGTCCAGGCCCTGCAGGATGCACTGGTGTGAGGGTCCCACAGCCCCATCCTGCACAGCTGCCTGTGCTGGGGCAGGGAGCTCCAGGCTCTCCACACTCTCCTCCATGTCTGACTGCTCTGAAGCAGGGTCCTCCAGAGCAATGAGAGGCCTTCTGCTCCTCTTGGCCTGAACACCCAGTTCTCTCCTTCAACGCAGCAAGCATTCCAGCTCAGTGACCCTTGAGGTGCGGGTGTTCCTCAAGTGGAGCCACCCCCATGTCAATCCTTAGCACCCACCTGTCTGCTGACCAAAGCTGGGCAAGCTATGGGGCTAAAAACTGCCAAGCTTTTGGTTGCACTCTCCCAGCCAAGCTGCTAGACCTGCATCTACCTTCCACCTCTCAGGTCCTGTGCATGTGGAGACTATTACAGTCTCCACATTCATCCTTTAACTCAAATTATGATTACATTCTGTTGACAGCACTTAGCACATTTTCTTGGCTTGTGGAGGCCAAACCATGCTCTCAGTTACCCCGTGGGTGTTACCTCCTGGAAGGCAGCAGGATGGTAAGAGTTGGTGAAGACAGAAATTTCTCCAGGGTTCCTAAAATGAGTATTTGTGGCCAGATGCTGATTATAAACCAGGCACAATAGTTGAAGAACTGTAATGTTTGAGTGGAAAACATTGTTTCAGGTTTTTCAGAAGAGCCTGGGAAGTTTTAGGTGCAAAAACCTCTGTCTCCCTAAGGGAAATATTTCTTCTCATATTCAGCTAGACAGGAAAACTTCTATTTTTATTAAATGCCAAAACCCTAAGAGAAGCAGCAGGCACTGCCCCGTGCAGGTCTCAGCAATGTGTGAGCTGCATAAGTACAAGCACACTGCTCACCTGCTCCAAATCCCAACATTTCTGCAAAAACAGATCCCAGTGGAGCATCTTTGTTCTTGGAGAGGGCTTGGCCCTGATATTTCAGGAGGGCAGCAAATCTAGAAAGAGGTGAAGCCAGATGAATGACTTCACATTTCCTTTGCATTGGCCTGCAGCTCCTGTGCACAAGTCAGCTCTGCCAAGTGCACAGCAAGAGCAGCTCTGTGTTCTCCACACTGATGGGGGACAGGCAGATGTGCAGCACCCACCAGGTCTCTATGAGTCAAATACCAGCATGAAACTGGAGAAAGCAGCTCCAAGAAAATTTTCTCTGTCGGGGCAAGACCTGCCTGCTTCCCAGCCACCCCCCCAGCCTTCTCTTTCTGGGAAGGAGAGCTGGCAGGTAGGCTGGAAGCAACTCAGAGCAGCCTGGGCCAGCTTCCAAAGGGGTTTCGAAACATCCCTGTAAAGCAGTGAGATTCCTTCTCCAGCTCCCATCAGCTTGAGAGATGAGACAGAACAACCCTGCAGGGCTGTGGGAAGAAGCCCCAAGGTGAGCCATGGAACCAGGGATTAGATGGTCAGAGTGGGAGAAGCTTGGCATTTTTTAGCCCTTTCCCAAAGACATGCAGTAAATGAGAGTGTAAATATCCTGATGTGACACACTCTTCCTGTAGCCCCTTTGGGTAATGGCCTTGACCCTCCACACAAGGTGTAAGGTCAGGGGATGCTGACAGGAAATGCAGGGAGGAGGCAGCACTGCCCTGCTGGGCATGGAGACCATAAACACCCAGGGAAGGACATCCATCACCCACTGGCATGGGCTTGGCCTGTGGCCAAGGTGAATGTCTGGACCATGGCAAATGGCCTGGCACATCGGGGTGAGGGTGTCCTGAGAGGGTGAGGAATGGAGAGGTGAAATGAAAAGGAGTCAAGAGAAGCACCATCTCTTGCAAGAAGTAGGTGCAAGGCATGCCAAGAGCTGAGACTGCAGACACAATGCTCTTTGCATTGCTACCCTGTTCCAGATTTGCCCTGTCAGTCCTGCCCCATGGTGTATCCTCCTTTGGGTTGTCCTTTGGGATGTTAGCTCCTGCTGTAAAACATCTAGCAGCATAATCTGCTTCTGCCATTTGGATGGAAAGATCTTAACTTCTACGTTTCCTTAGACTTAATTTCTTAGTCTTTAACAAAGCAGAAAGAAGGGAAAGGGGATTAGACATCTTCTAGTGAGAGATGTCCCTGCCCATGGCAGGGCCTTGAAATGAGATGATCTTTAAGGCCCCTTCCAACCCAAAGCATCCCATGATTCTGTGATGAGATTTGTTGTGTGTCATAAGCCTGGTGAGTAGAAGTGTTATGAGAAAACTGATGGAAGGACAGTTCAGCTGCAGCCAGGAGCATCCCTGCAATGGCAGAGACTGATTCTTGGGAACACCAGATTTGTGCTCAGGGCTGGGGCAGTGCTAGAGAGAGCATGGCTGTGGTTTCAGAGGAACAGCAAGGGAAAACTGCCAGCCAAAGGCCTGCATGGTGCTAACACAGGGGCCAGCTTCCCGTCTGCTCTCTGAGGAAAGGATTTCTCATGAGGGGGTGGATCCCTGTGACATCAATTTCCACAGGGAGGATGGTCTCATGCCCAGGTTTCCTCCTTACCACCTTCACCTGGAAAGCTGAGCAGTGTCCCAAGGTCCCTGAGCTTC